TGTGTGGCGTGAGGACGCGCCTTCCGGGAGGGAGGAGTAATGTAAGACTCCGTTTCATGTCTCGTGTTGTGTTGTGTTTTCCTTCCCCACGTGCTCCAGTTTGATTATTATGCCCATGTTTGGTTTTTCCTGTTCCTGTCCCTATTTAGTTCTATCAGTTCCAGTTGTGTTTAATTATCTTATTTGCCTCCTTTTACTTAAGCCCTGTGTGTCCCTGTTTGTCTGTTGTTAAATGTCATTTTGTGTTCTCAGTGTTTCCCGTGTTCCCAGCTTTGTTTTCATTAAAGACTTTGGAATTTGCTTTACTCCTCATCTCCTCGCTCCTTCGTTTCCGTGCTCCCAGTGTGAATCGTGACACATTTTGCCGTTTTGCCAAAACAATACTGAAGCTTTGCAGGTAGGTTTCTTCAAGAATCTTGGAAACGTTGCCAGTTCTTCTTTTAGTCTGTGCCACTTTGTTCTGTTTCTTCATGTCATTCCAGACAGACTGGATGATGATGAGATCAGATCTCTGTGTGGAGCACTGGCTGTTGTCAGACTCCTTGTGCAAATAAAAATCGCAATGGATTATTACAATTAATGGCAAAATGAATGTTGGAAAATGCAATCTGATATTTCCTACTGACACACTACAACAAAATATAGAAATAACTGACTTAAAACCTGACTTAAAATTTGTTAGCTTGTGAAAATACTACTGTTCTAATCATTTTGGCCACCACATACCTTGTTGTTGTTTTTTTTAATTTTTGGACTGTACCACAGACAGTGCAAATGTACCATGTAAATACCATGGCACATGAATGTGGTAAGCTTATGTTAATGTCATATTAGTCTGTTTTTCCTGAAAAGTAGTTTTGAGAAAATTCAAGATGTTTTGTCTCGACACAGAGCGGTCACTCGTGGGGTGAAACATGGTGATGGTTAAAGGAGTTATCTAAGTATATCTGATTAATCCCATATAGGTTTGAGTTTATTAACCTGCTAGCAAAGCACTTCAGTGTACATTCACTTCAGTGTTCATTCACTAACTTTAACTCATGCAGTCTCAAATGGTAATGCACAACATTGATTATGATTAATTTATTTCAGGGGAGTCCAAATCGGTTCCTGAAGGGCCACTGTCCTGCAGAGGTTAGCTCCAACCCTAATTAAACACACCTGAACCAGATCATCAAGGTGTTCAGGATTACCAGGCTGTGTACGAAATCACCCCTTATACTTTTAAATAGGGCACTAGTTGAGGAGACAGCAATGTGTAATGGGGTCTGAAACCATAGTAGACATTATCAAGTGCACTCATTCAATCCTACAATGGACCACAATAATGACCATACAACCAATGTTAACCATAGCACCCATAATGCACTGTGATGGTCATGCTGAATGAGTTCCCACATCTCGCCAGAAGATGGCGCCTACAGCTGAATCATCCCTCCATCCATCCATTTTCCAACCTGCTTGTCCAGTGTGGGTACAGCGTAATGTCATACAGGTATAGATTTATTTTTAATTGATTTGATAGTTTAATTAAGGTTTATACATGCTAGTTTTCATGACAGAGTTCAAGATAAATATTTTCATTACTAGTGGAGCTACTAGTTTGCTAAGATTCAAATTATTATTAAACGGCAAGCGCAAACTGCAAAAGCAGCAGCCCTTCTGGCACACTCTGTGTCTGAATTCGCTCACTTGTGTTTTCATTCACTCTTTCAACTGGACTATATTAGTGGAAATAGTGAATAGGGGTATAGGATGCGACTAGAAACTTCCAGGCTAGTGTGTTGGAGCTGGTCGGAGTTATACTTGGCAGGATGCTGGCCCTCCCGGAGCAGGATTGAACAATCATGGTTTATTTAAAACGGTGACATTCCTTCATATATGTTTATTTTTCAAAAACAGTGATGCATTTTTAATAATCTAGTAGTGATTGTTCTCTCCACAATTGTCAAAAGTATGTTTTAATTAAAATGGTTTCATTATCTTTGTGACTTGCACATCTCAGTAGTTGAGTAAATGTTTTACTGATCTGTCGTGTACTCGAAAGGAAAAACAAGAAATGCCCATCCCTGATTTCTTATGTAACTGGAGCTCTCTGACATTCCAGCTGTGACACAGATGCAGTTGGAGAATGGCTGGCAAATCAAGTGCATGCAAAGTTCGGAATGTGGATATCAACCCATGCATTGAGGTCAGGCAATGGAGTGTGTGGCTAAATGACATGTTTCATTTAATGTAAACTATATATGTTTTTTGTCTAAATATATTTAAAATTGATGTGAAATTTTGCGCTCAGTGCCGCATAAGTGAAGAGGTAGCAATTGTAGTATTGTAATTGTAATAAGTTTTAGTTTGATTAACTACATTGCCAGTTATATCATGACATGATGTAAAATGAGATTTGTATTTTAAAACTTTATTTTCTCTGTGTTTGCATTGGCATAGGAGAGTGATGGTTCTCAAAAATGTTTGGATGCATACAACTATGATAAGAGCATGTGTTCTGCATACTTCATGAGGTATAAAAACTGCAGGAAGTACTGGGTAAGTATACAGACACCAGGACTCATGAGAATAAAAAAAATACAAATTTACTAATCTGATATTTCATAACCATATTCTGTAGAGAAATGTACCATTTTGAAGAAAAAAAAAGTGCATACAAAATTAGCCTTGCATGGGACTCCAAAATGTAGGATTCTTCTAAGGATAAAATGGTTTAATTATGTTTGTGAATCCCCGGGTAAGGATAGTCAAATCTAGCCTAAACCATGAAGTACTGTGCCCAGCATAACATAATCATAATGCTAGGTGATTTTAACATGCATGTTGATTCTGATTGTAATACTGCAAAATACTTTTTGTCTGTTTTGGATTATTTTGATGTATCACAGCATATTGATTTTCCCACGCATTCACAATTTCATACTCTTGATTTGCTTTGCACTGTTTGTATTGACAATGTTGGTGCTCAGGGTCATGAATTGGGCATCTCTGATCATAAACTAATTGTCTTCGGTTTTCCTCGCCCCTTGTAAAACCAAAAACTAAAACTACTATATCTTACTGTAACCTGAAATCTGTAACCACTGACAATTTTTCTGTTGCTATTGCTGCCTCCCCTCTCTCATCCGCATTCAACCTCCTGAGCCCTGATGAGATATTCTCAACCTATAATAAAACTATTTGTAATGTTTTGGATGACCTTGCTCCACTAAAAACTAGAACTGTCCCTTCCGCTCACTCCTCTCCTTGGTTCATCCCTGAACTTAGAGTAATGAAAGCTGAATGTAGGCGTCTTGAACGACTTTATAAAAAAATCCTCCCTTGTAGTGCACGCTATTGCTTTTTCAGATTCAGTAGTTCAATATAAAGAAGCACTTAACAATACATGCTCTACCTATCTCTCTACTGTCATTAATAAAGCTAAGTGCAAACCTAAAGCTCTTTTCTGCGAGATCAACAAACTAATTAAACCATCGTCCATAGCTATTAATGGCTCTGTTGATGGCTTCGGCTCTTTGCGAAAGCTTTCAGTCCTTTTTCCTACGTAAAATTGATAACATTTAACAAGACTTTTCTCCATCTGTCTCTCCCCATCTTTCTCCATGTCTGATAGGTCACCCACTCAACACTTTCTTACTCAAAACCCTTTTGCCTTCACTCATCCAACCTATTACTCTTATTATAATTCATATTATAAACTGATCCCTTGCCACTGGTTATGTTCCACAAGACCTAAAAGTAGCTGCCATCACCCCAGTTCTTAAGATACCTGGTCTTGATAACACAGATCTGAACAATTTTAGACCAATATCAACCCTCCATTTGTTGCTAAAATACTTGAGAAGGTAGTTGCAGCACAACTGCGGTCTCATTTAGAGAAACATTTATGAGACATTTATGTTTCAATCTGGTTTCTGTCCCTCTCACAGCACAGAAACAGCACTTTTAAAAGTGGTTAATGATCTCCTTCTGGTTTCTGATTCAGGTGCCCACAGTATCCTGGTTCTCCTTGATCTTAGTGCAGCCTTTGATACTGTTTTGCCACTCTGTTCTTCTTTCTCGACTATCTGCTATAGCAGGGTTCCTCAAATCTTGCCCTGGAGGGCCAATGCGCTGCAGAGTTTAGCTCCAACCCTGATCAAATTCACCTACCTGTGATTTTCTAATGATCCTGAAGACATTGATTAGCTTGCTCATGTGTGTTTGATTAGGGTTAGAGCTAAACTCTGCAGGAAAGTGGATCTCGTGGGCCAGATTTGAGGATCCCTGTGCTATAGGTATCACTGGTGCTGCTCTTCAGTGGCTAACTTCATATCTATCGGATAGACAGCAATTCGTTAGGATAGATAAGAATAGATATCGCATTGTCACTATTTTCCGTGGTGTCCCCCAAGGTTCTGTACACTTGGTCCACGTTTATTTCTCATTTACGTGCTGCCACTGGGTCAGATCATCAGACGTCATGTTCTCAATTTTCATAGTTACGCTGATGATATTCAAATCTATTTTACGGTTCAACCCAACTCAGTTTGTTTCCTGTCTTCAAGAACTTAAAACCTGGACGTCAGATAACTTTTTACAACTAAATGCAGACAAAACCGAAATCCTGCTGGTTGTCCCTAAATCACAGAGCTCCTCCCAGCATGACATCTTCATAGATATCGATGGTGTCCAGATTAGGCCCTCAAAAACTTTGAGATATTTGGGAGTGTTGTTTGAGTCTGCGTTATGCTTTGATTCACATATTGGTCAGATTGTTAAATCATGCTTTTACCAATTGCGGAATATTGTTTGTATACGTCCCTCACTTCATTTTGGAGATGCTGAAACTATTATCCATGCTTTTATAACCTCCAGATTGGATTACTGTAACTCCTTATATAGCGGCTTACTAAAGTTATTAATCGCCTCCAAATGGTACAAAACTCTGCTGCTTGAGCCCTTACATTTAACAAAAAATCTGCACATATCACTCCCATCCTTCACCAACTTAACTGGCTTCCTGTGGCCAAACGTATTCAGTTCAAACTCTTAGTTTTAGTTTATAAGGCCTGTCACAGCCTTGCACCTCAATACTTGGCTGAGTTAGTGCAACCATACATTCCTACACAGACTCTCAGATCTAGCAATGATAACTTGCTTGATGTGCCCAAGTATAAACTCTCTACGGTGGGTGGTAGGGCTTTCTGTATTATATGCCCTAAGCTGTGGAATAAGCTGCCCCATAATACTCGTGCTGCCTCCTCTCTCCAGACCTTTAAGTCTCAACTTAAAACTCATCTATTCACTTTTTTCTCTATATAACTCATGTATCTCTCTGCTTCTCAATTTCTCAACTTCTGTCTGTATGACACATGTCCACCTTCTTGACATAATTGATGTTCATTATATATGATTGCATGACCTCTTGTTAATTATCTGTAGTTCTTTGTTGTCAACACTTGCTTGTCTGAATGTCCCCTTTGATTGTCTGGTGTATTTTGTTTGCCAATTGCTTACATTATTTTGTAAAGCGTCCTTGGGTTCTTGAAAGGCGCTATAAAAATAAAACATTATTATTATTATTATTATTATTATTATTATTATTATTATTACTCACCTGACAA